CTTTTTTTTTTTTTTTAAATTTGTTAGGCAGACTGACAGGCTGCTCCTTGCTGACTTCCATTCAGTCCCAAGAAGACCTGGAATTCGCCCGCGTTGGAGCTCCTTGCGTTGGCTTTGAGCCTGTCCCCGAACAGCCGGGAGACACTTGGCACGGACGCGGGGCTGCGCTTGTAGGAACCTGTTAGCTCCCGGGGGCCAGAGGGAGAGACGGGTGACGGAAACGACCTCACTTTCCACCTGCCCACAGGGTGCTTTCGACGCAGAGTAGATCTAACAATCTTCTCTCTACATCTGGCTGCCGAGAACTGCCGATTTGGGGGGCCGCTAAATTCTGTGAAATAGCCAGTTAGTCTAACCAGCTGCCTGAAAGATTTGTTTTATTAATTAATTATCCGACTGAATTATTCAACTGCATCAGTCCTTGTTCACCCTCATGAATGTTGAAGCAGAACAGAAAGAGGGAGATCAGGGGAGGGCCGCGGGATTGGGTGTCGAAAGGCCCCCCCTTCAGCGCCCCGGCAGGGCCTCACGCTGCTTACGTCTCTGAATCTAGACGGTCGCGTATCAAATGCAGGTATTAAGACTCCTCTCCGCTGGGTAAGATTTGTGTAAAGGCCTGAAGAGACGCGTCCATGAACGCCCTCGGAGGCTATGTGGTCAGGAATCTGTTCGTTCTCGTGATGTTTAGAACCCGTAGGACTGGAAGAAAGCGAGCCTGGACTGTGGCGTCTCTAAGACCCTCAGGATACAGACTTGTGCCCCTCCAGCTGTTTGCCTCTCGATGGACGGGGGCCAGTTGCTTGTTTCAAAGACGGCTCCACGTATCCGTCGCAGATTTTTTGCGTCGGAGGCCTTCACTGACTTTGTTTCTCCAAGCGCCAGTCCCGGCTCCCGGCTCCTCTAGTCCCATCAGCGTCAATGCCGTTCACGATAAATCGGCTTGGAGACTCAAGGTCCCTCGCCGTTGCTGTTCGAAAACGAAATGACTGGAAGGTTCAGGCCCTCATCAGCTCTCCGTCTCCACCCACCACGCAGGGCGGCCGTGGGACACGACCGGAGGGGCCCTGCCCGGGGGGGCGGCCCAGCGTTCACCCCGAGACGCTCTCTGCGCGGGGGAGGAACTGGCTCAGGGAGGCCCTCCCGGCACCAGGCCTGGCTCTTGGCTTTCGCGGTCCCGTTCCCAATACTCAACACCTCTCCAAGTGCGTTGGCTTTCTCCCTCCCTTTGTGTGTCTGTCCTTCCAAACGCTGTCGGGCAACGGAGCAGAACTGCAGACGGCGCACGAGACGATGCTGAGTAATTTTACATTTTTTGGGGGGGGGGGGGTGCACCCCACCCCGGGGAAGGAAGCCAGCCCGGAGTTAGGTGTTCGGGTGGTTTCTGCTTGAGGGATCTAGTGACGCCTACGAGCTATAAGGCAGGGTAGAGATTTCCGTCCTGAACATGTTACAAATGAGTTTTGTACGTTGAGAAGCTGGGTCCCAGCTGGGCCCTGAGGTTATTATTCTAAGGTCATCTTTCCTTTCTTTGTTCAGCATCACCATTTATCCAAAAGACGGAGGGCACTTAAGTACCCCTGCGAGGTGCATTCCTTCCTCCCTTCATAAGAGTATAAATATTTTTGCAGTTTCTCGGTTAACGCGGCTTTAAAGCCGCTCCAGTCATTTCTCCCCCAGCACACTAAGCACCTGACTTGTTAGTATTGAAATGAAATATCATTTCTTACAGTGACATTTATGTTGGAACTGCATCCAGGAGCATGAGCTATTGCCTTCAAATTATTATTATTAATAGGATATTTTCTGTTTTCCAGTCTATAGTTGGCTCACTTAAAAAAAAAAAAATTTCCCCCTCTGCTTTTATTTCTTTGGGATATGGTCTCTTTTGCAAGGTTATATACTTAGATCCATAATTTGCATTTAATGTGGAATCCCACCCACCGAGAGACTGACATTAGCTGCTAGGGACTGGCCCACAAAGCTGTTGAGGCTGTTGAGGGGGAAAAGCCACAGTGGAATGATGTGTCCTTTGGGGGCTCATTTTTCAGAGGCGTCCAGCTTCCCACTGAGTGCTCGTGATCCGGGGTCACGTACGTGGCGGGTTTGCACAAACAAAGGCATGCGTCTGGGCCCGTGGGAAAGAGAACCCGAGTTACTGCCACCCACGGAGGCTGCTGACAGGCTCACGGCAATGCTGCAGACCCGTGGGACGGCGGGGTGGGCCTTAGTCCGAGGAGGGGGTCCAAGATGGGTGACTCAGCTGAGGTCTGGGGAGCGACTTAACTGGCGTTTAAATTCCCTGCCTGCAAACTGCCTCCCTGGGCCCGTCAGCGATCCATCCTTTCTGCCACCAACCCGCCCTTTCAATAACCCAAACCTATTGGCGCCTCGCAGAGCCGCCTGCACCAGGGGCTGGTCTCTGTCAGGGCGCAAGGCTCGGCCTCCTAGCCCCCGTTGGGCAAACTCCGAAAGGCCGCTCGGCTCCAGGCCTGTCCGTGGAATCGATGGGCCGGGGCCTGTGTTGCAAGTGCATCGCGGTTCGACTTCTTCCTCTGCCCAGTTCGTTCGTCGCCACTCACGGGTGTTGCGGGGAGCGCGCCCCCCAAGAAATCCTTCTGCAAAGCCGCACATAGCGGCATTTCAGAGAGGCCTCGATTAGAAAATGTAAATGTTGGAACTAAGCACTTAAGCAATTGAAGAGGGTTGGGTAGGAATGAATTTCACAGAAGAAACGAGCTCACCTGAACTTGGCGTTCAAGGCCCCCAGCGTCCTCTGTTTCACACTCTGCTCATCTCAGGCTGTTCGGGGGTCGGGGCCCCACCAAGAACGAGAGACTGGGGCTGGGCGCGGGGCCTGTCACACCGCTGCTGTGGTCCCGGGGGGCTGGGCACATTGTGTCCTGCAGCTGCCCTATCAGGTGACCACAGAGGGGGCGGTCTGAACAGCGTCCGTTTGTCCCCTCACGGTTCCGGAGGCTAGAGTCCAGAATCAAGGTCTTGGCCATGCTATGTTCTCGCTGTAGGGGACTCGGATTTGAGTTTTTCTCTTAGCTTGCAGTAGTGCCAGAAATCCTTGGTGTCCTTGGCTTGTAGGTTCATCCCTCCGATCTCTTCCTTTATTGGCAGCGGCCTTCCCTGCTGTGGGCCTCTG